TAAATGATAGGTTAAATGAAATGTTAAATTAAATGACTTATTTAATTTCACGTATCATTTAATGCCATATTAACGCCACCTAGACTGTGTTTTCATCTCCAGTGGAGATGAATAGCATTACTCTTTCAAAAATTTCTATCACATTCTACTAAAAATCTAATTTTAATCTCCACAAAACACCTTTTAATTTACATTTAATTACATATGTAATTCTAGAACTTCAATTACAATTACAATTACAATTAAGATTACAAATTTCATAGCAAGTATAACTGAGTACAAAATTTTATTATAATTACAATGAAGCCCAAAATTTTTATAATACTTGCAATTAAGTCCCGACACTTTATAGTGCTACAATAGAGACCTGATTGAACATAAATTATACGAGCTCCAATAATTATATCTTATCTAGTCGACCCTAGATCACCCAATCTAATTATTAGTCTTTATTTTTTTCCACTAAAGACAAAACACCGCACTCTTGAGATTTATAAGATCACAAAAACCAATAAATCCGTAATACTTTCAGCTTACCTGTTGTATATGTATTTTATCCATGTCCGATATTCTATTATAAGGTACGAGTAGAAATGATTGTTTTACCCCTCTAATTATTCTCATTAACTTAAGGAAAATTACCGTTCTTGAACTAGTCACAGATGTTGAAATTTAGCCATCGATAAACATGGAGCTCAAATTTTAACCGTTGAACAGAAAATACTCATTTTTCAAGACGACATTCCCGACACGAATTCGTATTCTTTACTTCGCTCATTCTCAAGTTCCTAACTCACCAATATATTTGATCAATGAAATTGATCTCACCATTGGTGAATCAAAGAACCATGAAAATCACAAAAATATATACATAATCCCATCAAAGATTTAGATGAAATACATGACGATCAAGTGGAATTTAATTCTCCGCAAGGTCATATTATAGAATTAAACTCGACATGTGATCCGTTCAATACACTCAAAGTGTACTAATGTCACCTTTAACTATTTCTATGATAATGACAAATCACAAACATGAGTACTGAATCGATCAACACTACAACCTTCCGTACAAGGTGTCAACCCTTATATATTGATTGTGAGTGAAATATTTATANNNATTGATTGTGAGTGAAATATTTATAATCAAAATATAAGTTGTGTCACAATGTGCTTCTTAACACAAGTACTCAACTTACATTATCACAAGTGATTATTAGCACTTTAATTCGCATGCTCAATAATAAATGGATTATGAAAATTGGATTGCTCCAATACCAGTTTGTTATAAAAATATAAGAGATTAAGCCGCAATATGAAGTAATTGATCACAAGAACAATATAATTTGCAGAGAATGGAGATTTTATTATAATATGGAGAGAAAATACAAAATTTATGATTTTCCTAACTTTTTTCTAAATCATAATGAAGAGTCAACTATATATAAGGAACAAATAAGAGACGTCCAAACCCTCGTAACAGAGTTGTATTTGAAGTAAAATGTCAAAAATGGAGTCAAAAATGAAAAATGAGACAAAAACACGTTGGGAGGCAGAATGGCTGTTGGCGCCTCGTCTCCGACCCAAACTCCTTTCAACGATTTTTTCTTCATTTCAAAATCTTTTTCAAGTCCAACACAAATTCTTACTTTCAATGGGCTTTCAAATAGAATTTCAATTATAATTCGTCAAGTAAATTTGAATAAGATTTCACAATTACATTCCAAATAGAATTTTAATTAATTAGGACTCTCAATTATCTTCAATAAAGAATTCGGGTCATGCCCAAATTATAACAAATTGAATGGAATAAATAAATAAAATCATAATATATTTATTATAAGTTATCATTTTAACATCGCAAAATAAGTAATATGAGCACACAACTCAATATAAGCAATGACCAAGCTGCTGGGTGACGGAGAGCTCTTGCTTATGATTTTTCACAATATGAGCACTTGAATTGGATGTACTGGGAGTTCAATGTGCACTTAATTTTTCTTTTGAGTAAATTTGTTTCCAGTTGGGCGTGGATATGGGACAAGATTGATTATTAGGCCCTATTTGATGGAATTTAAAAAAAAAAAAAATTTTTTTTGCATACTCATTTTCAACCACACATTTACACAATAAAATATTCTGCACGTAACCCAAAAATTTTTCCTACTTTTTAACCACATTCTCCTAAAAATCAGTATTCAAAACATTGTTTTTCCCAAGTAACGATTGTCAAACAGGG